TTTCTCTCTCTCTCTCTCTCTCTCTCTCTCTTTCTTTCTCTCTCTTATAGTCACACTCTTACTCTCTATCTATCTCTCTTTCTATGACTCGTCGGGCGTCGGTTCCTCGCCGTGAATGCAGAGGGATGAATCGGCGCGAGTGGGGGTCATAGTTGCGTGTCGACGGGGAGAATGAAGAGTGAAGGGACTGCTGCACGCATCGGGTGCGTCTGCGCTTTGTGCGCGTACGCAGTGCTCCGATGCGCGTCGCTGGAAGCGCATATAGGTAATTTGCGGTGTGTCGGTTGTCGAGTTTGTGCTGAAAGCGGCACGCACGTGGTGTTTTTTCGGTGAGAGAGTGACGCAGGAAGATTAGCGGCAGCGAGGAACGACATCGAGACGAGATAACTGCTGATGAGAGAGAACTGGCAGTTTCGGAAGACTCGCAATACTGACTGATATACTCGTGTCGTTATCCAGGACCATGATTCTTTTACTTTTCCAAAGGAACTCGCTGTAATGTGAGTAATTGCACATTTTTCTTCAGTATAGCATCAATCAACAATCTTGTGACAATGTCTGCGAAGTCTATATGGAAATATCCGACAGCATCGTTACTTGCAAGTCTGTTCTGTAACTTCTAAACGACAATATCATTAGTATATAGTATGTTGTTACGTAACTTTTGTATATTATACTTATACGACGACAGCGTAACGATAACAATACTGTCATTACAAAAGTTATAGACCTACTGTAATAGTATAGGCCTACTGTAGTGTTCGATATCGAACGAAAGAAAGAAGGCAGACCCTTTAATATCTTAAATATCTCTTAAAATCAGACTTTTAGTCATTAGCGCAAGATTTCCAATAATTGCCAATCTCACAATATAGGAGACAACTAGGTGTACCTAATAAAATTTTTCAATAAGTAAATTTATCGATATTTCCCAGTATCGCCAACACTACAAACGTGAGCACATAATGGGGTTTGGAGAGACTGATCTTTTTACTCAAGGCTCCATTTAAGAGTCCGTTTGAGCATCCCCAGCTGCCCCGTCTCGTCCTGTTCCGCACGGCATGGGTCTCCGTGCGAGAGTCGTGCGTACAATAGCGGCTGTCAGAGTTGTTCGCGTGAGCACGATGTGGTAGGGGCAGGATCTGCCGACGCTGTCTCCCTCTCCCTCGCGCGTACTCTCTCTTTCTTTCTGTCGGAGTGACGGCACCCAAGGGCTGCAGTCGTGATCGAATGATCGGTGGGTACGGTGGGTTACCAGTTGGAACACGAGGTGTCTGATTGTCTAGTGAGAAATCTTGAATTCTCGGATCGGTAGATTCGCGGCGAAATTATCAGAGGACTAAACGTTATTGACAAGCTATGTTCCGCATGAACGTTTCTCAGGTAAGCGTCTCTGAGATTTGGGATACGTGAGACTTTAAAATATAGCGAAGAAGAAGATAACAGAGGAAGAAGGAAAAGTGAGTGAGTGAGTGAGTGAGTGAGAGAGAGGGAGGGAGAGAGAGAGAGTATGTTTTGTCTATTTCTAAAAGAATATTTTCTTATTGGTTAATATTTCTTTTTGTGATTATTATGTGCAAACTTCTGCACGCGCAAAGCTATTCTATGTATCGAATGACACACACAGAATGATACATTTTGAGGTTATTTATTTGAAATAATTTATTTTATTATGTAAAGAAAATGCCATTTATAAGTAGTAATCTTTCGTAGGCAATAATAAGTAAGAATAACTATCGTAATATGACTCGCATATTCAGAGAATCTGTGAACCGTTTATTATTTAATAGTTAATTATATAATTGTTAATTATTTTGGATATACTATGATATATTGATGTATGTGATATTTTATACGATAATAACATGTAATACCAATATCTTTCTTTTTATATTTCTTTTACCTTGATAATGCATCCGAGCGAAAGCTGCAATCTGTTTAGCATGACTTTATCATTTGTTTGAGAAAACGCAACTCAATATGCTTTATTGAGGCTCGACGAATATGTATCTTGTTTTATGGCCATATGTGTTTCTCTGGAAAGCTAATTACTCCGTATATGACGTTTATTATTTTCTGTTGTCAGTTTATCAGTCGTATAATAGAAGTAGAAGTGATATTCTGTTACGTGTGTACTAAATGCACTATTATGCGAAGTCCACAGTTAAAAAACACGTATAGGTTTACCGAAATATTATTACGTTTTTTTCAAGTCTATAATTTCTGTCATCTATATCTTTTTTTCTTACAATTACGATCGGAGTGTTTTTCCTAATCGATCGGTTTGTTTTTTCTAATTATCGTTTCTTAATTTTTATTTCGTTATTAATAGTTTTCTTTTTTAATTTGGATATCATAATGCAGGTGGAAAATATGAGTCTTGGAATAGTTTGTGTACTTTTAAGATCCTTGTTAATTCTCGAGATAGCAATGAAAGTTTTATGAGCAGTCTTTTCCTACGGATCGTCTCTTTTTAGAGTAGACTTATAATTCTCTCTCTTTTCCTCTTTCTCACGACACTCTGGCGCAATCTCTCACAGAATGAAGCTTAAATGACATATCTTGGTGTGCGCACACTGCGACATGAAGTCATTAAAGAATTTCTAAGGCGTCGGGCAACGGCCTGCCTGTACGAACCTCATTATCCGTACAAGCGAGTGTATCTGCTATTGTATCTTGTGTGTCCATGCGTTACGACTTTTATTCGTCGTCTTCGTCACGATTAAATTTGTCGTTAAAGCGTACGACCTTGTTGTTCCTTATAAATTGGGCATTTTAAAGCGAAGATAATACTTGAAGAAGCGATCGCAACTGTCATCGATAAATCAGGTAGTCGAAAGTTCCAAGTTTAAGTAATTAACTTCAAAATTAAGATAGAAAATTAATTCTACCTTCACTTCGCGGAATACTTGTTTGTTTTGTTGCTAAAGAACAGTTTGCAGAAAAAAATTCGTCCAAATTCTTGAAAGAGAAGTTTGTCTTTCCGATTGCTTATCAACGGGCGTAAGATTCTTCTCGTACTGCGTTTCCTTATTTGCTGCGCGAGTTGCTTGTTGCCACGAATCCGTTAAAGCGCGCGTACATTAAGCACAGTCATTATCTCCCGTAAAAGTGGTAATAATATTACGAAGTGCGATGTCTGGTGATATCGAGGCGATAATACCGAAAGCGCGAATCGTGCCAGATGCATTCATTTGTATGTACAATTTTAAAACCGCACTCCGGAAGATGTATCATGTGGACTTTAACGTGCATTTTAGGAGATTTTAACGTTCTAGTCAAATAGTATTTTGTTAATAAAATCCTTTAAAAATGATTATAAAATATAATTTTGTAATAAAAGTAATGAAATGAAATGGTAGTAAGAATTTTTGTTAAAAATTGAAACTACATACAATATTGAAATATGTAACTGCTCTAATATTATCTAACTACTCGTGCAATTAGAAAAAGATTGATTATTCAAGGATTGATTATAAAATTGATTAAAGTTGACACTTTTTATAAATATTAATTGAGTTTAGCGTGCTATTTTTTTATTTCTATTTTCAATATCTTCTAAACTATATCTGGGATTTTTATGAAAAACTACTATTGTCACATTAAAGATATGGATAAATAATAAACGGATCCTAATATATACGAATATTATACATAAATTTCAGAATTATTGATCGTTTTACCTTGAGAAAATATAGCAGTAAAAATTTTATAATTTATAAGAATACTCGAGATACATATACATATATTTAAACATTAAATTAATTTATTTCTTTCTATTATTTGCGTATCTCTCTTAGATTGATTTATGCATAAATGAAGCATTAATAAGAAAAAAAAATATTTTTGTATTTTTTAATATTTTATATATATTTCAACTTTATCTCAAATTAACATTTATTACTTATATAATAAAATAAACGTATAGAAATATAAATTTGTTCAATAAATAGGAAGTTTATGAGTGGTCTTTTTGTGTCATTGAAAATACACGACACTAAGAGTCGGTTTATCCAACCTCTTGCTAAGCTAACTAACAGTTAAATCTTATGTCTGTTTCTATCTAATTTAAAGAAGAAACAAAGACAGACGTATGAGTTAACTGTTAGTTAGCTTAGCAAGAGGTTGGAAAAACCGGCCCTAAGCCTTACAACCTTTTTAAATACATCAAAATTGACGAAATAGAAGTTGTAAGACTCTTATTTGACGGCAGTATCAACTGTAAGAAATATGAATATAAAATGAACTCGTTATTATATGATAAACGATCAGTTTCATTTAATTTGAATTAAATTTGCATATATATTATGTTAAAATGAATAATAAATATATGAATGAATATATAAACGTGTGATATATAAGATGTTATTTCCGATTTTGCGAGTAACTTATGCATGCGATGTTTTCTTTCATATATTATTGATCTAAGAAATATTCTCATTGTGAAAGATTTAAATTTCTCTTCAATTTGACGGTAAATTTACGTCGTATATTACTGAAATATGCTTAAATATTCATTTTATTATTACGATAGATTTTAAACTTCTGTCTTATATACAAATATGTTAAATTAGAAGAAATTTTTTATATTGCAAAGCTTCTCTACACATATGTTAGTACAATATAAATTTACAATTCAATATCTCGTAAATGATACGGTAAAAATTATTGAAATTCCTGTTACGTATTATTAGTTTAATAAACTTTTGTGTCGTGTATATTATAGGTTTATCTTGTACTTGGTAAAAGGCTCCTGGGGAGTCGCATCATCCATCTCTTTTTAATGACGTCAGAAGCGAGAAAACGCATGCTAAAAATTCCTGCAAAATACGTCGAGATAAACAGATATATCCACAAAACGACATTTGCGATCAATTAAGTACACCTCTAAAATACTCCGTACACTTTCCTTTTGTTCTAAAAATCAATAGATAATCGGAAAATTAATATGACAAGATAATGAGGAAATTAGGTTAGAAAAGACGATTGCACGTCACATTTATTTTATAATTATCTGTTGATTGTTAGAACAAAAGGAAAGTGTACGGAGTATTTTAGAGGTGTACTTAATCGATCGCAAATGTCGTTTTGTGAATATATCTGCTTATCTCGACGTATTTTGCAGGAATTTTTAGCATGCGTTTTCTCGCTTCTGACGTCATTAAAAAGAGATGGATGATGCGACTCCCCAGGAGCCTTAAAACCTTTTTAATGAATCGCGCTGCGCCACTAGCTGTCTGTTTTATCTACGTCGCGATCTGTTTTTGCGATAGAAGCTCTTTTGGAACTTTTTGAGCTGAATTCTTCGTGATGTTACTCTCGTCTGCATTTGCATTAGGAACGCATTTACATTCCATTTATTCTAAACTACGCGGTGCTTCTTATTACCTTTTACGGCTTCGTTAACAACTTTATCAGAAATGCCATATTAACGATACTTCAACTTCAATATTTGGCTCCAGGCCTCTCTAAGAGTTATGCCCCAATGCCATTTTTCCGATTAATGATATATTTCGAGAGTAAAGTCTTGGAAAATTCCAAGGCATGTTCCAAAAAAATCACAAAGTCCGAACTTGTTCGAACACGTCTTGTCGTGACGGCAGTTAGGCCGGGACTCTTATTAACGATACTTCAATGATATACGAGAGTGTCGATATCTCATATTTCGATATGATATTTCCAATATCTCTCTTCAGTATACCAAAGTCGAAATTATTGTCTTATTACACATCAGGCCGGCTATACCGATTGATTACATCGCTATCGGGGTTCCACCTAATCGTGATCGGAGCAACGACGTTGCGATAAGCGCGATCATAAGAGACCGTGAGAATTTTCGATCGTCGTGGTATCGCGCTGAGCTCGCCGTACATATTATCCACCTTGTGTATGGCTACGCATCGCCGTCGCCGTCGCCGTCACCGTCGCTCGTGGAGGAGAACTGGACGCGCGAAAACAAGAGCGCGTCTTCTCCGTGCTTTCTCTCGCCGGAAATGCAAGGCGCCGATGACTTCCCGCTATCGCGACGACTTATGTTAATCCGCAAACTTTCGCGCCGACGGCGTGTAGCGTAGCACGGAATTTCGTTTCCCGTCGCGGCCGGCACGAGAATTCCTGGTGCATCGCACTGCACGCGTCTGCTCCAGGTGCTGCGCCACGCGGCGCGGTTTCGCAGGCTGGAACGTCATGCATTGCGACGTGTGTATGTACAAACACTCCTACGCGCGATGGTCACGCTCCAAAACGGTAACTTATTACCTCAATCTTATTACCGCTAACGGTGCATTACCGCGCCTCGGGAGTCGTTTCTTTTAATCCTCTGTGAATTGCCGCTCGCGGCACGCGTCGAAAGGGATCCCGTCGAGTCGTGCCTCTAAAAATAT